ATTTACAAAAAAAAAATAAAAAATGAAATACAACCGGACAATGGTGACCGCGTGATGAACTTTGGACGGTGATGGGGGTAGACGAAATCACTGTTCATTTTCACCTATAGGCATTGCATAATTTTTTTCTTATATATATGGAAAATTCTTTCCAACGCGTATAGGTGAAAATGAATAGTGATTCGCCTACCCTCATCACCATCCAAATTTCATCACGCTGTCACAATTATCCGGTAGTGTTTTATTTTTCATTTTTTTTAAAAAAATCGAAATGACCTGAAATTTTTTGAATATATACATCTTACTGAGTTGCATCTAATAAAAATATAAAAAAAAATTATCAATGAAAAATAAATTGATCAAAATACCCCTAAAATTTTTTTACGGTATTTTGATCAAATGTTTTTATGTAAAAGTTTGCACCAAGCAGTAAAGTCGTGCGAGCGTGACACAAATTCTCTGTTTGTTTGTGAGAGATGTAGACATGCTCGAAAGCAAGTATTTTTTTGTGTGCGTGAGAGAGAGAGAGATGCCCCTCATGGTTGAGAAAGGAGTCAAATAAGTCCAGCTCGATGATGCTCACATTTTTATCCTATTATTTTAACTCTTGCTCAATTTGTGGTTGTTCCCAACATTATTTTGATTCTACGAGTTTAACTTTTAGTCAATTTCGGCCAACCACGACATGATCTAGGTTTTCGTCCTTCGAAGGGAAATTAGTCCCTTTTTTTTTTTTTTTTTTGTAGAAAGCTTTTTATACTTTCCTACATCATAAAAGATATATACTTCTCCCTCCATCCAATCATTCAATTTAGATCAAGTGAACTACTGATCATTTAATTTAGATTCGATACCTTAGAGTATTTTTTTTTATAAATTGTATGAATATGAAATTTGGTTTTATAATTTTTGAAGATTCCCCTATTTTTTATGAATACACGTTCTAAATTTCAGGTCATTCTGATTTGTAGAAAAAAAAAAGAAAAACGAAACACTACCATACAATCTTGACCGCGCGATGAACTTTCGACGGTGATGGGGGTAGGCAAAATCACTGTTCATTTTCTCCTATAGGCGTTGCGTAGTGTTTTCCTATATATATGGAAAAGTCTTTCCAACGCCTATAGTCGAAAATGAATAGTGATTTTACCTACCCTCATCACCGTCAAAATTTCATCGCGTGGTCACGATTATCAAGTAGTGTTTTATTTTTTAGTTTTTTTTACAAATCAGAATGAACTTGAAATTTGGAGGGTATGTACATCTTATTGATTTGCATCTAATAAAAATATAAAAAAAATTATCCGCAAAAAATAAATTGATCAAAATACCCCTAAAACTTTTTAAGGGTATTTTGGTCAATTTTTTTCATGTAAAAATTTTAATTGCAACCTTGAATAAAAATTTTCCATTTATAAATTTTGTGTTTTAAAGATTATAAACCCAACTCACTACATGTGACTTGGTCCAATGATATAAGAGAAACATAAACAAGTTGCCATCTAATTCCTGGATAATGGTAGGAGAAGGAAGCTGCCCTTGAAGCAAATGCCTTGCTCTCTAGAACAATTAAGTCATTGAAGGTTGCATCTCCAACGAGCCTTAAGATTCTCTCAAATCGGTAGGAACTTGTTTGTTTCTATGATGAGGGCTCTCTTTTAGTGTGAGAAAGTGAATTTAGATGAAAAATATGTTCATAAAGGAAAGAAGATAGGATGTTGCAATATTTTGATTGCAAAATCATAAAATAAATGGATAATTAAAATGGAAAAAGAAAGAAAATGATATATTTTGTATTTTGGGTCAACATATTTTTCATAGATTCTCTTTTTTTGTATCATGCTTTACTACATTTCTCCCAAGAGCATTGTTATAACATGTACTCATGCCTAGTTGGCTTTCTTTTTAAAAGGAAATGATTTGGGTACCAGCACCAAACCCATGCTAGCTTAGAAAAAAAATAATTTTATGTAAAAATAAAAATTAGAATTTGTTCATTTTCTTCCATATGCTTCATATTAATGAAGGCAACATAGTTTGAGATATAAAATATCGGTTTTTGCCTATAAACTCATTTTGCTTGATTTTCCTATTCTTTTGTAGTCAGTTTGACTCCATGGAGAAAAACTTCTTGATAATTCCAAGGGCAGAGATATGTTTGACGGTTAATATGGGAAATAAGGCATGGGTTTTGTAGGGGAGATAATTTGGGGTGAAGAACACTCACTTTCAAAGAATGAATTTCCACCTATTTATTTTTAAATATTCTTATCCTAAAAATGGGGAACAAACAGGGATAAAGGGAAGATTTCTTTACTAATTTGGACATCAATCATTTGAAATCATTGGGAATCCTCATTTATAGGGAAGAATATCCTAAAAAGTAATTTTCAATGACCCAAATGGGCACTCATAGGAAAGAAAAACTAAAAAATTAATATGGGAAACTATTTACCAATAAAAACAATCTTCAGGTACATCTAAACTGGATGTATTTCAATTATGTATTGGAAGCCATCTCAATTGGAGCAAATAAGTGAGGAGATGGTGGATCATTATTTCACCATGGTGGATGAAGAAGGATGGACAGATTTGGAATTTCCTCAAAGGAAGAATTCCAAATGCATCTTATCTTTGCTGAACCAAGACTTTGAAGGCCTTGGGATGATGCTACCCCCTTATGCATGCATTGAAGAAGAAATATAGATGTTACACACATTGAGAGACCATGATTAATTACATGCACCATCGTTAGTCAATCATAAAAGTTATAAGCATAATGAAACTTTAAATGCTTAAATTCTAAATTTAGTAGGAGAATTTACCTACATAGTCTTGTGACACTAGCCAACAAAACTCACAAAAGGAAAGCAAGTCATGAGCCTCACCCATACTCACGTATGAACTAAGGGTATTTTTTTTAAAAAAAATTATTAATACTCAACAAATTTTTGAAACTTATATACCATTGTTTTGTATATTAAGTATGTTTTTTTAAAAAAAGTATTTTTGGTCATTAGGAGTGGTGTGACGTCATCCACATGGGGTATGACATCACTACATGGAGCACACTAGTAGCATTTGATGCTTCATGTGGGTAAGGTCACACCTCAGAGATAATGTCACACCCTTCTTAATGACCAAAAATAACGAGATTAAAAAAATATTGTTACAAAATATGGGTTATCCAAAATTTGTTTAATACAGTTATAAAATGCTCTATCATGTGAGCACCCTAACATAACCCTATATGAAATACAAGAAGGGAAAGATGATAGAACATAATACAAAAATGCTACGATGCGCATCAAGCATCTCAAGAACTTTCTCTCTCCTTTCTCCTAAGTAAATAGAAGAATGTATTTTAATATTTAATCATAATTTTCTCTTTTTTTATTTTCTAATGTGGAACTAAAATATACTACTTTCTCTCAATACTATGGTTCAAAAGATATTATTTCGAAAAAACATTTTTTATTTTCTAAAATAGAAGTACTAACATATACACTTATTCCACTATCCAAAACACATTAGTATGATGATTTTTTAAATATAAAATTTTGGGATTCACTTTAGAATTATACCACTTTTAGAAAATAAGACCAAAAAAAATAAATACTCTAACTTTTCTTAATAAATCCCCACCTAAGAAATACAGACATCTTTCTAAAATATAACTTTATCAAGAAAAATTAGAACTCTCTATCAAATCCTAATTCCAAAATTGAACCAAATAAAATAAAAATAAAAAGCACATAACGTTTATAAATAGAAATAATAAAAAAACACCCATAACTTCTAAAAATAAAAATAAAAAAAATAAAAATAAAATTGTAATCGACCCATTCTTGATCTATATCAGATTCCTATTTAAAAATAATGGGAAGTTTATCAAATTCCTATGAAAAAATTTTTAGTAAGAGTTCGTATACAATGAGACTATTTATTTTTAGTACAAAGATGACACAATTACTTATAACCTTCCGATGTCTAATGGCTTAGGTGTATCACAAAGTTTGAGAGAATTTCTTTTCAACTTTGAGCTTGGTTAATAGAATATATATAGCCACCCAATTTCACATGCAATAGTCAAGATTGATTGTAAGCACTTGGTAGCGTGGAAAATAACAAGTTGATTGTACTTTTCAAACAAGTTGATACTTTACCCATATCTTCTTATTTAATTTCGAAATACCAATAAAATAACACATGGTCTTGAGTTAAATAGGTATGAAAGGATAAATTGTTAAATAATTAATATATTGCGGGTATTTTGATAAGGAAAATGTTTATATAAGGTGGCAACCTTAAAATGCAGAATTAAAAGTGCACCTAAAAAATCCATCATAAAAAGACGATTGGATATTGAAGAACCCTCTAATTCATTATCTCAATAGGAGGTGTATGACTATAAAAATAAAAAAAGATTTTGAGTCCATAAAATAATATATTTTGAAACACATTATCTGGATCATCTATCTTCCAAGATTTTCATGTGTTTATAGATCTACTTGATTTGAATCATTTTTAGAATTTAAAATTTTGTTATAAGCGATGAAAATAGATTCTCAATCCATCCTTTTATATCAAAATCACATTTAAGATAAAATTTAGAGACGTGCCTTGATTGGATTGGTAAAGGCCGCAAGCTTATGCAGCCTTCCCAGCTGCTCCAAATCAATGGATTTGGCCATGGCCTTCTGATAGAGCTTTCCCACCTGCCCCGATTTGGCAAGTTACACAGGTGATGTACAGATAAACAACTAGAACATAGAATCTCTCACATAAGTTATCAGGAACAAACTCGAACAGCCATGCCATGGCATGAATAAAGTGACAGAACTCAGTACATTGATGTCTATGAGTTGCACTAATCACATAGTACGGGGGAGGCTTTTTAACAATTTTCGTGGACCCACCAGTGAGTGTTTTGAAAAGTTAAAGTATTTTGCGGTTTTGTGAATGTCGCAGTCCTTATTATAGCATCTCTGCTTCTACTTAATTCAATCCATTCATCCCAATCTTCATCATACGGTTGCCAAAAAACGAGGAAAATTTTCAGGCAGTGTTGCAATCTAGAGAGAGACCGATGGAAGTCACAAGTGTTCTACGCATGAATGACCATTCTCATCGAACAGTTGCCAGAAAAGGAATTTTCAGGCAGTGTTGCAGTTTAGAGAGAGAGAGTCCGATGGAAGTCGCAACTGCTCTGCGCATGAATGTGGTTGCCGAAAGAAGAATTTTCAGGCAGTGTTGCAGTCTAGAGAAAGAGGGACCGATGGATGTCGCAAATGTTCTACGCATGAATGAAGGTACAGGGAAGATGAGCTATGCACAAAATTCATGGCTTCAAGTAATTCTTAATCTCTCTCTTTACCTTTTGATTTTTTTAATGTTGATATGAGGCTCCATGGCTGACCTCAAAAACAAAGTTAAAATGATAATGACGATGATCATTAAACTTGATGCCAATGGAACTGTAGGTCACATGTAGCCCCCCACTACCTTGACCACTTTACTTATCTCTCTACGCTGACTATACTTTCTCTTTCTTGTGGTTTTGTGTTGTAATTTGAGTGTATGAAATAGGACTGAGTTTCGACGATAGTACCAATGAGTCCTATATTTGTTTTTTATTATTATTGTGTATTTGTGTAGGAATAATGTAGTCTACACTAAATATGTATTCATATATAAATCTTTTTAAGGTTTCATTCTTGTGTAATGAGAATGTATAGAGATTGTTTCTCTCTCAAGATGGGTCCTGAACTCTTTGTGTTCTCTAAATCAAATATCATATGATAAAGTCCCTTTTTCCATTCTCACCAAAGAGTAGGGGCTCAAATCCCTACTAACTTATCCTTTGGAAAGGGGTTGAGGTAGCACCCCATTACCTAGTCACCATATTGCGGTTTCCATTCCCACCGCTAACACCACCCCATTAAAACATTCAAAAAGCTAATTTGTAATCTACTTGAAAAAATGGATAGGAGCATGTCTTCCACATTGAATTACCCCAAAAAAAAGCCAAGTAGCAACATATTTTTATTTGCTTCAAAATCGTGTGTTTGTTTTATAAAATATAGGAAAAATTATGGATACCTCACCAAAATGAACTTTGTAGATATTCTATTTCCTAATATTTTTAAACAAAATTGTTTCATGCAGGTTAAACCACATTTCTGCAATATGCGGTCCAGAGGTATAAAGCATTCATTTTAAAAATGGATGCAAATAGGTGGTCCATCTAAAAACAAGTGTAATTAACGGTCCAAATACTTTCTTAATATAATTATTATTTTTATGCTTTTTTTTTTTTTTTTTTCATATTCATGATCTCCATGTTGAAGAGTATATATTTTCTAGAAATTAAGATCAAATTATATTTAAAAATTATATTTATTTCCAAGCCCGCATTACTACAATATGCAGGCTGGCTGTAAAGAAACCGTGTCCTACTTTTAATATCATATCCATGACCTAGTTACTGGTTTTCTTGCTTTGTACCCTCAGTCATAAAGTCAATATTTCAAAAACTAAATTATTTTTCTCCTCTTTTACCCTACGCGTTAAATCTCTCTGTATCTACCCGCTCTCAACGCTTAATATCAGTCTCTCTCTCTCTCAACCCCCTCTCTTTCTCTCTACCCACCCTCTCTCACACACACAATGCCATTGTATGTAACTATGATTGATGGGTTTCTAAGCAGAAACATGGAATAGAGGTGATTAAGCCTATAACCGAGGAGGCAGTGATGAATATGCTCTCTACCCATTTCCCTGAGAGATTGGGAATTGCTGATCTCGGCTGTTCTTCTGGCCCTAACACATTCTCAGCCTTAACCATCATTATCGAAGCGGTGTGCACCAAATATGAGCAGGTATCTTTGCCGATGCCGGAGTTTCTATTGTACCTTAATGACCTGCCTGGAAATGACTTCAACTCAATATTTAGATCACTCCCTTCATTCTATGAGATGATGAAAGAGACAGGAGTTCCAGAGTCTTGCTTTGTGGCTGCCGTTGCCAGTTCTTTCTATTGTAGAAGCTTTCCATCAAACAGTTTACATTTTGTTCATTCTTCTTACAGTCTGCATTGGCTATCACAAGTAAGCACCCGCTCTTTTTTTTCTAACAAGTAAACTAAACAATCTCTCTCTCTCTCT